TGGTTCTCTGCGGTCGCCCGAGGCGAATTAGGCGAGGGAGGTGGTTCCATGAGTAAGCCAGTCGGGCGGAGACCATATCGAGGGTGATGCCACTAAATTCTGCCCACAGGTTGGAGGGTACCGTCTCCTTCACAAGTTTGGGCAGAGCGACAGAGTCTGGCAGAAGCCCATTAACGCCTCCAAGGAGTAAATGGCAGAGAGCCCGAGACTGTAGGCTCTCCCTTAGACTGCGAAGAAGATCATCCAGCCGGTCCACAAGGTTGCACTCGTCCCAGGCCTCAGGGGGCGTACTGAGCAGCAGACAAAGCCAAGCTGTCTTCAGAGCATAGGACGAAAGCACTCCTCCCCATTCAGCTCCGGACTTCAAGTCCAGAGTCTCCCCACTGAGGTTACGTACCTCTTTTAGGAGTTGAAGGCACTTCAGATGACAGGAGTTGGAGGGCAGTCTACCTTTCAGCCATGCTAACAGTTTCTGCTCCTGCCTGGGAAAGTACACTGTCCAAAGGTCTTCTCCTCGCTGACCCCGCCGGGATGCCACCAAGAAGGCACCATCACTGAGAGGAAAGGCTGGGATCAGCCGAACGCCCATTGAGATGTGGCAGCAGACGTAATCAGAGCGGGGAGTCAGATGGAGGAGCACTTGCTGCTCCTCACTCAGAGACAGGCTGAGGGAGCAGCGCTGCTCAAACATGTAACGGAAAGTAGCAAGGCAGCGCTGGGTGGCTGTGTAAAACCAGCGCTGTACGGAATCTGGGCTCATCCTATAGACACTTTGAGCATTGTGCAAGTGCATAAACGTGTCCGTGAAGGCCTTGTGACGACGTGCCCACTCTGCCTTGCGAGGCGTGTTCAGCGTGCACAGCGGTGGCCCTCCATGTTTGTCAGTGCAAACACTGGCCTCCAGTTTCAGCCCACGAGGTTCTCGCAGAGGCACAAGGATGTCGAAGCAGTCAGGTGAGCCCACCTTGTGCTCCTCATAGGAACTGCCGATCTGGATGAAGTCACCCCGGAAGGCCAGTGAAGACTCCGGCGGGACATTGGTGCGACCCACCCTTACAAGTTCACTCACCAGCTTGGCAACATGGGCTTTGCTGTGGCCCAGCACATGTGGAGAAAGACGCACATGCCTCTCGTAGTGATCGTCCAGTAGCTCTCTCTTGGAGACACCCAATTTTCCCTGCCCCTCCGGGACTTTGTGGAAAGCCCCCCTAGCAGAGCCAGGTTGAGTTGAGCAGTACTTTATAAAGAAGTAACATAAGATAAATGCTAGGATGTACTTAAAGAGTGTGACAGCTCCAGGTCCCTGATCAGAGCAGTCGTTCCCATGGTCCTCAGATCCTCTGATGATGTACTGGTGCAGTAGCAGCAGAGCGGTGAGGATGCAAGTGACCAGCGGCCAGAACAACCTGAGGTTCAGAGTGTAAACGCTCATCCTCCTCCTCCTCCTCCAGTCCACTCCAGCTCTGTGGGAAAAGTTGGGACTAGCCCATGTTTAACCACTCATCCAGATGCTGAAAACAAGACCGAACTGTTCTTTTAGCCCTCTCGAGCAGAAACCGTCGTGTAAGAGGAAGTTTGCCAAGTGAAGTTTCTTTACAGATGCAGAGTGTGCTGAGGGCAAGAGAAGTCCTCTCGTTCAGGATGTTTGAAAATCCCCCCTTTTGACACAAGTGAGTATTGTGTGAAACGGGAGAGCAGGCTCTCAGTGTGTGAGCTCAGAGGAAATGCCAAACTCTTGAGAGAGAGGAATTTCTGTTTTAAAAAAAAGAGGCGTTCAAAACCCAGAGCCTGTCCACACTCCTCCTCCCTCTTCTCTTAAAGAAACAGATCTCAAAATGGGAAGTGCTTACTGACAGAATGAGCCCTTGGCTTAGTTATTTACACAACATGAATATACCACATGCATGGATTGAAAAAAATGTGACCAAAAATCAAATGTTTATAAATGTTAAAAAGGGTGCTTATACTTAAAGTATAAGTTCATACAAAAACTCATGCTCATGTCATTCCAAACTTGTGTTTTTCTTTTCACCGTGGAACACCAAAGTATATGTTTCACTAATAGCATCACACAAATCCTTTTGTAAAATGACTAGAATAAATTATAAAAGAGGGTGTGGCCCTAGTAAGCTACACAGAAGGTCATTGAGAAAGTTTACAGAAATACTGCGTGCACACAGCATTTCTCTTTGACAGGTTTGTTCACAGTAAGATCTCTGTATCTTTATAGATCCTTTACCAACCCCTAACCTCAGCACGAGCCTTCCCCCGGTCACCCCTGACCCTGTGATACTGAACAAGAAACCACTGTCATCTCTCTTAATCAGTCCACAGAGTGCTTTTGTACTGCTGTATGGACATATACACCTTGCTTTATGGACATACGTTTTTAGAATGGCTTTTTCAAAGCTTAGTCAAATACTCCCAATCGCATCTATCACAAATGCATAAAGCCCTGTGTACAGTGTACAGAATTTGAATTTAAACTTAATCAAATAGACAGTTAGTCTATTCACATAGTCTACTCAGTTAGTTGTCTTTATATCAGACACACTGATGTAGCCACAAACAGAAAACCACACCTTTCCCACCCAGTGCATGTTGCTACCTCTGCCCTCTGATTTCAAAACAAACAGTGCCCATGGCCATGAAAGTTATGTTAAAGTCACAGAAACACATAGCAGCACCTGGCTAAGTCACACAAACCTGTATGACCCGTCAGAGGATAAACACAGAGACAGCTCGCTAAATATGGATGTCTGAACTGTTTGGATAACAATATAACTGGTCTGTTGGAACTTAGAAGATGTCTGAGGAAGGAAGTGATCTTCATTATAGGGAATTTGAAAAGGCAACGGACAGGAGGCAATTACTGCAGTGTTTCTCTCATGTACCTTCTTATCAATCTTCTTGAGCTATTTTGATAGTGATGCAGCCCACTCTAAAAATACCAAGCTGCCTGAAGGGGATCAGCAACTACAAAACAATAGATAAATGCATTAATGATTTGCAGTTACAACTGAGTTGAATGCAGCTCTCCTCCTGTAAAAAGAATGTCTTGTGGTTAGCATCTGTGTCCTGAGGGAAACAAGCTTTAAGAAACAGTCTCACAATTACATGATTCATAACACTGGTGCATAATAAGCTACTGAGCACAACACATACACTGTCTAAACTTGTTTATGCTGATAAGAGAAAATCTTAAGACCTTTAATACTCTTAATGTCATTACTACTGGTGAAGGGTTGACAGTCAAATATCCAGAGATGTTTTGTATATATATTCTGCATTTAAGTCTATTTAAAAGAGCTTCAGCTGTAGTGTGCTATTAAGACGTAAAGACATGTGATCTGTTCACAATGAGACTCATGCAGTGTTTCCAGATGGGTCAGCTTCCTCTGACACAGACTATGAGAATAAAAGATTGCGTGGCAGCTTCTGCATTACATTAAGCAATGCAAATGCTTATATGGAAGATATGTTTAGAAATAAAAACCTTCTGAAGTAGGAGAGAAGGGGAGTATGGGACAGGAGGCAGACTGTGGGTAGTGGGCAGTTGAAAGCCTCAAACTTTGAGTCTGTTAAGGGTTACATGTGGTCACAGTTGATGGTAGACTGGAAGCTGAGGAGTACTTGTAGTTACACAGGGATTGCATCAGCCGCCTCCTCTCTGAATTCGAGTATACAGTAGCTCTGCCAAACTAAACAGGCCTCTCAAGAACTCTTATCCAGTACAGTCAGCATAAAAGACTCTAGACGAAGAGGAGGAAGGGGCCCAGAGTATAATTTGTGCACTTCTCATAGCCTGCTCTCTTCTTATCAAAGCTTCAAACTAAATTCACCAATTGGCAACATACTGAAAAAACCCTCAGACACAGTAACTGAAATCCAGGCTCTCATACTCTCTGTGGAGTGTCCAGGCTTGACTTCATGCCCTCATAGATTAAGTCATGGGAACCACAGGGAGATGGAGACAGCTGTTTCCCGCATCTCTGCTACAGATTATGTTACATGTTTTCATAGCCACCCTTGTGATAACTTCCCCTAATATTGTATGCATACATCACTGACAGTCCCTAGATATTCTAAGATAACAGATGAGCATATTTATAGCATGCCAAATATGTTTATATACCTGTGGTCCTTCTTCTCACATAAAATAATAATTTTAACAGTTGGGGCACAGATTGCCCTGTCATGACTGGTGGCTGCAAATTACCTTTAACTTAAAAGGCAAAGACTGCCCTCTTGTGTTCCAAGTGGTCTGTGCAAAACACACACGTCCTGTGAAGACATATGACTTTAATGTCAACACAATAGTGATAAAACATTACAGTATGTTATTTCTGAATATATCCTGCTGGCTGGGCAAGATAAAATAATACAGGTCATGTATAAAATATAATAAATAAATACATTTTAAACATTTATACTGCTGTGAGGAACAGCACCAGGAAACACGTCTGTAATATGCACCACTAGTGTCACTAAAACTTTTTTTTTCCCCAACAGGTTTTCTGAACATTTCCCCTGGCCAGACAAAGAGATGCTCAAAGCACCAGGAAACACGTCTGTAATATGCACCACTAGTGTCACTAAAACTTTTTTTTCCCCAACAGGTTTTCTGAACATTTCCCCTGGCCAGACAAAGAGATGCTCAAAGTGGGTCAGCACACAGTTCAACCACACCTCCCCCTTCCCCATCATGAGTAGTGGCACTTTATCCCCACTTCAGGCTTTGGTAATAAAGACTAATTATATATATATATATATATATATATTAATTATACATTGAAATATAGTCATACCCCAAAAATGCTGTGTTGGGGAGGGTGGGATGCTCAAACGAACAGAGCAAGCACCACAATGATTTTGGAGAAATCAACCCAAAATGGCTTACTGAATAAAATATTGTAACACTGAAAATAATTACATACTTCAGCTTTAAAACTACAAAAAGTAGAAGCCATATTTACAAGATATCAGGGTGACTTTTAAATAATACTATTTTTTTTTTTTTTACATTTATACTCGTTCTGAGACATAAATTGCAGCTTTGCAGCCAGCCTGTATGATTGCTTTCATCAGCTGATATCCAGGCACCTGCAATAAAGACGCACAATATGTAACTAATACACGCAATGGCAGAGCATGAACATATCTGTGGCTCTAGAAAAATAACTATTAAAACAATTCTTGTTATTGAGGTTTTATAGTTTAATATGCTAGTTCATGCAGTCACAAATTTAGGGCTGGGCGATGTAAAAAAAATATTTTATCGATAATAGCCTTAAAAAATATCACAATATCCGATTATATTGTCTACCCGAGCCCCGCCCCTTCCCCGCCGGAGACAACACTGCCGACATACACCGTAAACGCAGATCATCTTGAGTTTGGCTGCACTTTATCTAATGATAGCCTGAGATTCAGTTAGTTTAATTTAAAAATGGAAACTTTAAGGTTTTATTTTGTTACTGTAGCAAGGTTTGTTGATAAGGGAAGGGAACCGGCGAACGTTTCACAAACTTTAATCCAAAAATCAACAAACAAAACGGAAGTAAAGCCTGGTGCATAAAAACATAATAAAACCACAACAAAAATGTTCTAGGCCTGGTCCTCTCTCCTCTTCACTGTCGTCACGTTATGTTTATGCTCCCGGAGCTCCTTTTTGAGAAACACTATAGGGTTGGCCCTAGAGACCCCAAAGTTAGTCAGGTTACTATTTATTACCATCACTACAATTGTGCCAATTTTCATATTTTTTCTATTTACAGTTCATAGGGCTGCCATAGACTCCCACTGGGGAGGAATAATAATAAGAAAACTAATGGATACAATAGAGACTTCGCCCCTAATGATGTTTGATAGGGAACGCATCTCCAAAGCATCGTCGCATACACAGACACACGTTGCAGTTAGAGCAGTCAGTGCCGAACAACAAAAAATAAAATACAGTTAAGGGTAATTAAAGTTACAAAAGTTATTCTGTCAAGTTCAGTGAGTGATTTTCTTTTTCTTTTGTTCTTTGATTAACATTAATGGTGGCAGCTGGTATATAGCCTAGCTATTAGGCTGCTGTCAATGCATGACTCCGGTACGCCTACTGTTTTTCTTTTTCAACTGTTTACATTAACATAAGACCAAACCAACTGTGTTTCCCTGGATATTTTATAAAGATGAAAAACCGTACTCTCTAGTTATATCTCACATATTTATTAATACCATGTCCACACAGACGCGTTTCAGCCTAAGCCATCTGAAACGCGTCTGTGTGGACCTGGTATTAATAAATATATGAGATATAACTAGAGAGTGCGGTTTTTCATCTTTATTTGATAACTTCTTTATAACTCGCACCCATAAACGGTTTGGGAGTTGAGCGCGCCTGTTGTTCTCAGCACTACCTGGATATTTTGACATCATTGTATCTGTATTTGTCCGTGCACTATATGAGAGGCGGCTCTCTGTGAACACTGTGAACAGACGCCAAAGAGAACACTTCTGTGTGCGCACTGCTTTCTGAGCTGTGCACATATCCAAAGCACGCACGCAGAAGTGTTCTCTTTGGCATCTTCTTGCACTTAAACCCTAACCCTACTAACTACTAGCCTATAGAAAATATTTAATTCATGCTATTGCATGTGGCTATGTGAAGTATATGTCATTTTCCCCCGAGACATCGTCGATATACGATAATATCGTCATATCGCCCAGCCCTACAAATCATGTTACATGCCATTATTCAGACTTACTGATTCAGCATCATGCTCAAGTCCAGTGTCATGGTGCTCCATTTCATCATCCCGAAATTCTTTAATCATCTGACAATAAAAAAAAAAAAAAAATCACTGTAACATATTACTGCAGTCACAGGGTATATACAGTAATCATGGAATTAAATGTAATACCTTTTAAGACCTTTTTTAACACCCCTTCCATAAATTTTAAGACCTCATCGCCACTTCAAGCCGTTACATTGGCGACACCTTACATTTACTATATATTGATTGTAAGATAGCACATCTAAACAGTCTTCGTTTGTGATAACTCCTTATCAATGCAACATAATTCAGAAGGGAGGGAACGAAGCACAAGAGAATTAATTAAGTGACTAACTCAATGCAAGGTTTATTAGAAAGAGAAACCAGAATTAGACCAATAAACAAAACAATTGACAAAACTTATTGAAGAGGGAAAATAAACCTCTCTGAGCTAAAGGGACAATGAGTTCACAAAGTATATTCAAAATACGTATTTGTAACATCGACTCTTATAACCAGCTGCAAACCATAGCTATTTTGTGGTACACTTCTCATGACAAACACCTGACTGATCATCATACAGTTTGCCTGTGATTACGGAGTGCTTGATTTGATGCACCAGAGCAGAGTGTCAGTAGGGGTGTGCACGAATATTCGATCTGTAATTATTATTCTAAAAAATAAAATACTATTCGAATTATACTTGTCACGGTGTGGGTTTTGTGTCTTGTTCCTTGTTCTTGTCTGTCATGTGATTCCCTGTTTGTCATGTGGTCCTGCCATGTGTCTTGTCATTTGTTAATTGTCTGATCATTGTTCACAGGTGTTCCTTGTCTTGTAATTAGTCAGTGTATTTAAGCCCTCTTGTTTGCCCTGTGTTTTTGTCTAGTATTGTATGTTACCAGTGAATGTTTCCTGTCGTTGTTCTAGTTTGATCTCCAGTTTCCATCATCAAAGTAGTCCGTGTGACATCAGTGGGTAAGTTAGAATGTTTTGAAGCATCGAAAATACATTTTGGTCCAAAAATAACAAAAACTACGACTTTATTCAGCATTGTATTGTCTTCCGCTTCTGTTGTCGAGCCGCGTTCAGTGACACTGATGACGTAAGACGCTGCTGACCCACTGATGTCACATGGACTACTTTGATGATGTCTTTATTTCCTTTCTGGACAAGGACAGTATACCGTACATACATTTTCAATGGAGGGACAGAAAGCTCTCGGACTAAATCTAAAATATCTTAAAACTGTGTTCCGAAGATGAACGGAGGTCTTACGGGCTTGGGACGACATGAGGGTGAGTCATTAATGACATCATTTTCATTTTTGGGTGAACTAACCATTTAAGGAAATTAAAATATCTCTCTCTCTCTAAACTTATAAACACACATCTCTCTTTTTTTACGACTTACAAAATAAACGACATACATGGACAAGGTTTTAATGTCATTTTCAATTTTCTCTGCACAGTCCATCATCGGTGGCCAAAAGAAATCAAAGTGGCTTGACACTTTTTCCACTATTGTTCCACCAACAACCTGTGCCGTTGTACTTTGAAGATCAGGAGCAAATTAATGCTCCACACTCACCTGACATCAATTCTGGGCAGCGCGCACACACACACACACACACAAGATCAAATCACCATGGATGTCCTTTTTAATTTTTTTTATCAGTGAGCGGGAGCCCTTTGACAGGAGGATATAAAAACAGTTGAAGAAGAGTGGCAAACCATAGGGAGTCATCATAATTCATAAATGGTGTTAATAAATTTTTTGTGAACAACAATATTGTCTCTTTCTTCTAAATGGCCCTTGGAATTTTAGAAAAGGTATAAATTGGGTTTGTCTTCATAAAATGCTGTGTAGGACACTGTTTTGTAGCTGTATGACGACCAATAGAGAATAGTACAGCAGATATTTCATAGAGGATCCAGATTACACGGTACTGTGCGTCTAATGGGCTAAATTTGGTTAATGTCTAAATGTAATTTTATATAAATTTACAACAACATATTTTACTCAGTCTCCTGTATATAAAAACCTACGGTAAATAGGCCTGTAACTGCAGTAGGTCATATCATTACTTGTCATAACACATAGTTGATCCAACTATGTGTATTTTTCAATTCACAAAAACAAATAGTCTTCTGTAGGCTGAGTGAAGAGAGTGATGCCCAACTGAATATCTACAGATATTTTAATCTGTGCATATCTACACTGTAACCTTTATAATTAAATTAACAAAAAACATAAAATTGTCAAGTCTATGGACGGGTTATTAATGTGTAAAGGCCAATTTATACTTCTGCGTCGGGTGCGCGCAGTAGGTGCGGCGTAGCATACGCACAGACGCGTACCATACGCCCTACCCTTCGCCGTAACCTGACGCGCACCTCCTCAAAAATGTAACTACACGTCGCGACGACGCGGACCCAAAGATCTGTGATTGGTCGGCTTGGGAGCATCACGTTTCCTCCTATGTATTTCCGGCGTGTTCTTCTGCACCGCCCGCCATTTTTAAATTCTAAGTACAGCGAAACTGTTAAAAAACCCCCAAAAAATTACCTTTTCCACCTCGATAAGCTCCAACTCCAACATGATCTGCTCTCTTTCAGTCGACATTGCTTGTAGTAACCTAAACTCAAAACAGCCGCGAGGAATCATCTTCTTGCCGCGAGGAATCTAAACACAGTGGAACATTAAAACCCTCCGCCGCCAACTAGCGTTTCGGCGCTGTACTGCAGAGCAACGCAGACCTAAACGCAGAAGTATAAATGCTCATGACGGCGTCGCCTACGTGCGTAGCGTACGCCGTACACTACGGCGTACACTCGACGCAGAAGTATAAATTGGCCTTTAGCGTCGATTTAAAGCTGCAGTCCGCAGTTGTTCCTCTTTGTCGCCATCTCTGTTCGAAATCTGCAATTGCAGTTATTCGCGGAATTATTAACTTTACGTAAGTTGTACTTCAACTCGGCACACCGCGGATTAACACAATGTTTGAGGAGAGTGTGCTGTGCAGCTGTCAGTCACCGTGCCGGTGTGGATACTGGCATTCAGAATCACAGATTATTCTTTTTGGAAGTATGACCAGTTTTTCCTCTTTGTCGCCATCTCTCTTCGAAATCTGCAATTGCAGTTATTCGCGGAATTATCAACTTTACGTGAGTTGTACTTCAACACCCTCGACACGGCACAGCGCGGATGAACACAATGTTTTGAGGAGAATGTGCGGCTGTCAGTCACCGCGCCGGTGTGGCATTTTCACCCTAAAATGTCATCTGAACAAGTAAGTAACATCCACTTTTGTTCTGGTTCTGACATTGCAGTAAATCGCGCTGATTAAATCTAAAAATCGCTTATCATATCACGCAAAACCGTGCAAATTATACTTTGTTCTCAAATTGTTAATGTTAACAACGTCAGCATTGCGTGACTACATAATGTCCTTCCGATATGTATCCTTGTTTTCGCATGGGCCGGTTGCAGTCTCTTTTTTTCTGTAGCCACTCCGAAGTCCGAACGAAGTCTTTGGCATTTTACAGCGGGTGAATCTGTTGACACTGGTGATTGTCGTTTGAACCTTTCTGGATCCGCCATCAAATTGATACGTTTAATTATATCAAGTGCTGTGAGAAAAGGCTATAAATCTCCACCTCCAGCATCCTCACACGCAACATAGCCTACTAGCCGAGACTCCTCCTTTATGTGTACAGATGTGACGTAATGACGCAAAGACAAGCTCGAATCTCCCGCGGAAATCCACCAGTACCACTGGAATTAAAAACATTATTACAAGCTTACCGTTTTGAATCGAGCTAAGGGCAAGCAGATGGTTTTAATCACTGGCTGGTTATGCATTTTCTCAAATATGTATTTTGTATAATTTTTTACCCACAAAAAGCTACGGACGGCCGCTTTAATTATGTTATTTCGCAGTATATCTCCCTACTGGACGCATCAGGAACACTGCCAGGGGCGTATATCTACCGGCTCCAGGTCTGCAGCCTCCCCATATAGTAAATCCCAAGCACTAACTCGCAGTTTTAATTAAATGCACTGGGGAGCGCTGTGGAGCGTGTTTGTATTTGATCACATAATGTCATCGTCTGCCTCGCGAAGTTTGGGAATTACTTGGATGAAAATGATCTTACTAAATGATATTACAAAATGGAATTACTTTTAATCAAATTAATTACTACAAATTAATATCACCACCACAATGAGAAATCACATGAAATTGTGACCAGTTGAATGAGCAGTTCAACACCAGTTGAATGAGGAAAGACGTCCATCACTGCATTCACGACAGGTAAGCGCAGCTGAACCCGAGTGAGGCGAGATGATAACTTAGGCTAACTGACAGTAACATGATTTTGGAGACATGGTTCCTTTAAGTTTCGTTAAGGAAGACAGGTTTAATAACAGAAAACGCAAAGTGATGTTAGAAACTTCGTTATCTGTGCATGTGTCCCTGCAACGTCTGTCAGCGGCAGCGTGTTTTCTCACTCGAGCATGTGTGTTGTAGGGAATGTATTGTAGGCTTATGTAAATTCAAGCATGTCTTTGCATCATTACGTCACATCTGTACACATAAAGGTGTCTCGGCTAGTAGGATATATTGCGTGTGAGGATGTTGGAGGTAGAGATTTATAGCCTTTTCTCACAGCACTTGATATAATTAAACTTATTCATTTGATGGCGGATCCAGAAAGGTTCAAACGACAATCACCAGTGACAACAGATTCCCCCGCTGTAAAATGCAAAAGACTTTGGACTGAGAGTTTGGAAAAAGAGACTGCAACCGGGCCCATGCGAAAACAAGACTAAATATCTGAAGGGCTTTAAATGTAGTCATGCAATGCTGATGTTGTTAACATTAACAATTTGAGAACAAAGAATAATTTGCACGGTTTGACGTGATAATCGATCGTTAGATTTAATCAGCACGATTTACTGCAATGCTTTTTTTCAGTTAGTTGGTCAGAAGAACAAAAGTAGATGTTACTTACTTGTTCAGATGACATTTTAGGGTGAAAATGCCACACCGGCGCGGTGACTGACAGCCGCACATTCTCCTCAAAACATTGTGTTCATCCGCGCTGTGCCGTGTCGAGGGTGTTGAAGTACAACTCACGTAAAGTTGATAATTCCGCGAATAACTGCAATTGCAGATTTCGAAGAGAGATGGCGACAAAGAGGAAAAACTGCGGACTGCAGCTTTAAGATGTAATGTAAGCTTGTTGTGTATATTGCATTTCCCCATTAGTCAACGATGTTGTTTAACAACCGTGCGTAAAGGGACATATCACGCAGCAGTGCAGTCAGTCAGTGAGCGCGGTAACCGATGACGTCATATCTAGCGGGATTCCAAATAAACTACACAGAAACCCACTATTCGCCTACGCAATGATTAAATTCAGGCTAACTTTAGCATACAACCTCTTTGGATAAATATGCATAACGAAAAGATGATACCTTTTATATCATCCAAGGTATGATATAAATACCAAGGTATTAAAAACAATGTAATACCTTGGAAAATGGCATTTAAGACTTTTTAATACTTTTAAGGGCCATAATTTTCTCTAAATTGATTTATCAACTTTTAATACCTTTTAAGACCCCGTGGACACCCTGAGTTAGTAACATTTATTCATCTGCATCATACATATATTATTCAGTGGGGTTCTGCGTCTGACATCACTTTAGAAAATGATTCTATTTAGATATTAAGCTACCATTTCATCCTTTTTACAAATTATACTATCAGCATAAGCGAACCGTTGAACTGACAATATTTTTTGTGATACAAATGAAGCAATTTAATTTTAAATCCTCCAATACATATTTTAAGCAAGAGCCTCATCACTATTCTACTGTTTCTCTGTGTGTAAAGTATGAAGCCCACCATGTCTTAAGGATTTGACCCACCTGCAGCAGTTCTGTGTACTTCTCAGGATCTTTCTCCATTAGAGTTCTGATCTGACTGTTATAGTGCTCTGAGATACTCTCTTCTACAGCCACAGTGCAGGCCATCGCCCCTTCTTTTCCCAAGAGAGCAGAACCAGCTCCTGTCAAAAATATAAAATAAAAAAGATATCACACCAATGCTACATTTTACATTGAAGACTCTTTCTAGTACACAAAGGGTTCTCACATCTTTTGACCAATGATTTTCCATGACGACTTTTCCAGTTATCTGTGATAGCATACTAGGGCTGGGCGATATGGCCCAAAAAAATTATCACGATATTTTTTTTTATATCAGTCGATATCGATAATTATCACGATAAATGTCAAATCTTTATTTCTTTCAAGTTTAAAGGCAGATTTTTGCTCCTAAGTGAAAGTTGTATACACCAGAGCGTTAATTGTGGTTTTAAACTACTCTTTATTGTCAGAACATATCATGACAAACACTTGCCAAACAGGTGAACATTTCACAAATCTGAGGTAGAACATTCAAACATTTGTCATTTTTCCTTAACAAAATAAATATCTGAATAGAAAAATATTTCTTCAGCACAGTTTGCAGTGCAGGCTGCAATATTCAAATTACATGTTTTGTCTCGAAATGTTAAATGTATGTTCATTAACAAAAACAGTAACATCTGTTCTATAAAAAAAATGTAACGACCACATTTTTATTTGGTAAAATGTAATATTCTGACTGTTTGAGTTTTATTAAAAACCATTGGTCATCCAGTATCATGCATTTAGATCATGATAACCACAGATAAAACCAGGCATAGCCTATTGAGAGTGAGGAGTCACGTGCCGATTTGGGCGGGGTCTGAGCCGGTCGGCCATGATGGTAGGAGACGCTATCGGTTGCCAGGGGCAACGCCTTCAGAACTTTACAGAGGCGCGACTAAAACATTTCAGAAATAGCGAGAGAGAGACAGCGCAGCTTAGTATTTGTTTACATTTTACCGATACGCCGCAGTTTCTTTGGAAGATATGGAGAAGGAAGAGAAATGAAAGGGGTTCTATCGGGAGAGACTAAATAACAATGCTAGCCAGCTCAGAGAAACTGTCTGCTTGTCAATAAACTGACAGCAGCAACAGCGAGCAAAGCCTGCTTTCAAAAGCAACACATTTCAGCACAGTTCGCCTTTTATTTAATAGAAACGAACGAAATTAATACTCTGTTATTCATCTAGAGTTGTTTCATTTGTTATAGATATATCTGTACCGCGAAATGTTTTAAAAAGACACTTTTTTAATGACGTACGATTCGCATTGACAGGGGAATGTCCGATCTGTTCGCTTAACGTTGCACGGCAGGTGCAAATGCATGTATCTGATTCATATCAGATTTATTTCCACATATGAATGAGGCCTGAAACATCAAGTATGACTGAACTCTCGTAGTTTAACGTTACAGGTTTGGGGGTTTCTAAGTCTTGCACCCAGCCGCAGCAGACTTGTTCAGCTTCTAATGACTTAAACCTTCTGAACTCTTGCATTGTGTAGGCAGTAACGTTAGTCACTGATACCATAAACAAACCAGGTAATTAACTATGTCAGCGTATGTGAAAGGTGGTAGTGCTTTGGGTCTTTCGTCCATTCTGTAGCAGGTCATACCGTACGGGTCCATGTTGATGTCAAGTAACTTAGTTTCTCTAAAAAACGCTGCTTGGTGTTGTTATTTAGTCTCTCCCGATAGAGCCCCTTTCCTTTTGCTTCCCCCTTCTTCATTTATTCCCAAGAAACTGTGCCTTATCGCAAAAATGCAAACAAATATCAAGCTGCTCTCTCTCTCTGTCGCTATTTCTCTCGGTCTCACGGTCAAAGTAACCATCACAACGGATAGCGTATCCTACCAAGATGCGAATCCTTCCCACAATGCAACGCGGAGTGATACGCGTGACGTCACCTCCTCATTCTCAATAACTAAGCACCTCACTATCATGGCAAAATGTAACTTTATGGTTTCTATGGTAGGCCTATTTGTATGAAAAACAGTAGCCTAACAGTTAGATACATTATTAAATACTGTAATTATATTCCATTAGTCATTTAATACATTGTCTACATTAATAATATTATACAATTCAATATGTATATCCCACATTGATTTCATGGTGCAGTTAATATTACTAGGCTAACCTTACAGTACATCCATGGTAGGCTAAATGGATTCAGTATCAATTCAGATTCTGACTGTATCGTTGCGCGCAGTGTTTCTCCTGTTTGTCAGCGGTGTTTTATTTGCCTTTAAACATTTGTGTTCTTCGCTGAACTCAAGCGCTTCTCACTGGATCTCGTGAGCGAGACGATCAGAGTAAACGCGCCTGCTCTAGTGAGCTCGCGCTGCCGTTTGGACTTTGAGCCGAGCGGATAAACAGTCCGTGTGGCGCGCGGTTCAAATGAGTTTCGTTCCGCTTTTGGCGCATAAACATTATCGAAGATTTATCGACCTCTTGATATCGTTTTATCGAGAAAAATTATATCGCGATAATTATCGTTCTCTTTCATCATCTCGTGTTCGAGATCCACCTATGGCAAGGGCATCCGTACCTGACCTCTACAGAAGCATCCAATTGCACCAAGTCTGGCTAGACAGACAGAATGCCAGGTGCAGCCAATGCCAGGTGAGGCCACACCCCCTCACCTACGGGCATATAACATCTGGGCGCGCTGCTATTCCTCAGTTGACATTCGCTTCTCGCGATCTCTGAATCTCACAACTCGGTTGATTTTTTACACTGCTCACCTCGTGTCTTCAGGAGGACATATCGACCAGATCAGCCTCCGCCGGACGTGACAGTTGTTTATTTTTCAACTACTGCTGCTTTGCATTCGGAGCCGCCCACGCTCTCGCTATTTTCACCGTTTCTCCTCACGGCTGCCCGCCACGGATTTCTCCGTTTTCTTCGCTGGTATGTCACTGTCTAAGCCTGCAGCCTCTCCAGGGGATAGCATATCACGGGCCTGCCCGGCCGCGTGTGGTGCCCTTATCGCAGCTAAGGATCTTCATCAGCTTTGCGTGGTCTGTTTGGGTCTTAAGCACGCTCGGGAAGCCCTGGAGAACCCGGAGAATTGCAGTTTCTGCCTCATGCTGCCTAGGAAGCTGCTTAAACGCCGTCTTAAGGTGGCAGTGACACAGTGCACCGGGCTCAGCCCTTCTGACTCGGACGGGGGACACGGTGATGACGACGCGCTACCGGGGGCCTCCCGGGGCGCAACGTCTCTCGTCTGGGCTGACCAGCCCAATCCCGCCTTCCCCGAGGAGGACATCTTCGGGGACAACCTCGCTCTCGTCCACGAACTGCCCGGTTCTGGCGAAGAGGAGGATGCGGCCATTCTTGGGGTTTCAGAGGACGAGGAGGCCATCCCGCCCTCTGGTGTTCCCCAGGCTACCGCCCACGCGGTTCTGCCTCAAGCCATCCTCCTGGAAGTGTGTGAGCGAGCGGCCGCTCGTCTCAACATCGAATGGCCGGCACCGCAGAGCGCCACCGACCAGGAGAGGGATATTTATGATGGGAAAGTGCTGGGACCCCCTCCCGGCCCGAGGAAACAACTCTTCCCCATCCTCCCGGCGTGCGCGAAGCACATGAGAAATTATTGGAGCGACCCGCTCGACTTCAAACACGGTCTCACGGGACTCGAGGTTAAGGACATGGCGGCGCACGGTATGGGCGAACCTCCCGCCGTTGAGCCTTCCATCGCCAGGCACCTTAACCCCGCTCAGGGCGGGCTGCTCGCTCCCCCTAAGCCGGTCTTGCCCAACAAGATGGACCGTTTTGCTGCCTCCGTTCACCAGGCAGCTTATAAGTCCTCGGCCGTGGCTGTCAGGGCCCTTAACGTTTCTTCGCTCCTTTCCGCCTACCAGGCGGAGATCCTCGAAGAGTTAGGGCAACAATTGGAAAAGGGAAATCCTTCTGAAACCCTGTGGAAGGAGATCCTCACGGTGAACGACCTCGTCCTCCGCAACGCTCGGCAGGCCGTCCAAGCTTGCGGGGGCTCCATGGCGCTTTCCGTGGTCGGAGAGCGCGCGCTCTGGCTGAACCTGTCGGGACTCCCTGACAGTGAGAAACGGCGCATCGCGGGCGCCGGTGGAGCCCGGCCGGGCTCTCTTCGGCCCCGCCGTCGCACTGATGCAACAACGGTGTGACGATCAGAAGAAGGAGGATGAGGCTTTCAAGCTTTGCCTTCCCAGGAAGTCAGTCCCACGCCAGGCGCCCCCTGTGCGTTTGCCTAACCCACCGGCCACGGGACGACAGTTTCATCAGGGCAAAGAAAAGCCCCGCAACAAACCACCCCCTCGGCAACATAACCCAGCACCTACACACAAGCACTGGGGTAAGCCCGCTCCCGCCGCGGCCGGGAGACCTGCGAATTCCAACCCCACCGACTCGAAACGCAAGCGGCCTGCCTGATGTTCAGCCGATGGGGGCTTCGAGTCCTTGTTCACGGCCCGCAAGCCCTTCGGACTCCCCTCCTCTTCTAGGACCCCCGTCCAAAAGACCCAGGGGGTCCCGCGGATGGGTCAGCTCTCCGCCTGTAAACGAGACTGCCCAGCTCGTGTGTTCGAGAAATGTGTGTTTTCCCCCCACGTTCAGGGGGCCCTTTGTGAGGGAAAGTTTAAGCTCAGTGACACCACACTGCCCACACTCTGTTCCCCTCACTCTCTCAATAAAGGCTTCGGCCCCAGTGTTTGCCCAACACAAAACACACAAAACACAAAAAAATACGAATCAAATGAATTCGTTTCGGAGAGAAAACCTCTCTCCGCAGAGAGAATTCATCTCACTGCAGAGAGAGGAAATCCCTCCGAACCCCTGCATGTCGCCTCTAGTGTGCCCACTAGATGGCGCCATTGCATCACAAATAAACCTGTCGGTCTCACACAGCTCCGCTCTGGCCCGAGCGGGAGCTCTCGCGAGTCACGAAGCGGCTTGGCGAACCGTTTCAGCTCCCGAGTGGGTGATGCGTACAGTAATGCAGGGTTACAGATTGCAATTCGCAGTAAAACCCCCGCATTTCAACGGCATTCTCTTTTCTCACACGGAAGAGAACGCCTCTCACATTCTGAAAGAGGAAATTTCATCTCTCTTAAACAAGGGAGCGATTCAGGTGGTACCCCCCAATCTGATGAACCAGGGTTTTTATTCCCGTTATTTTCTGGTCCCGAAAAAAGGCGGCTTTCTCCGCCCTATCTTGGACCTTCGAGTGTTGAACAAACATTTGAGGAAATACAATTTCAGAATGCTGTCACAAGGCGCACTCGCCCGTGCCATAAAACAGAACGACTGGTTCACATCAGTCGATCTGAAAGATGCTTTTTTTCACATAAGCATCTATCCTCCGCACAGGAAGTTTCTTCGTTTCGCCTACCAGGGCATATGTTACGAATTCACAGTTCTTCCGTTTGGACTCAGTTTGAGTCCCCGGTCTTTCTGTCTGTGCGCGGAGGCGGGCTTAGCACCTCTGAGAATATCAGGTCTGAGAATCCTGACTTATATAGACGATTGGCTCATCATAGCCGAATCAAAGGAGAAGGTGTTGCAGGACACCGGCCGTATTCTCGCACACATCACATCGCTCGGGTTCCAAGTGAATGTGAGCAAGAGCAATTTCACGCCCAGTCAGAATGTCATTTTCCTGGGCTTGGAGTTGAATTCGGTCTCCATGCGAGCGCGCCTCTCTCAAGAGCGCGTTCGCTCTCTGATGAACTGTCTGACGCAGTTCAGAGAAGGGGCGAAAGTGCAATATCGCACATGTCTCAGGCTACAGGGTCTCATGGCTTCATCCACCCAAGTTGTGCCATTGGGACTTCTGAGGATGAGGGCGTTCATGAAATGGGTCTTGTCACTACATTTCAGCCCGAATCGCGACCTTTGCCGCTCGGTAACAGTGACACACGCCTGCTCGGCGACCTTGCGCCACTGGGAGAGCGAGAACTTTTACGCACGGGGAACCCCTCTGGGAGCGGTTACGATGCGGAAAGTTGTGACGACAGATGCGTCCTTGACAGGCTGGGGTGCCACCCAGGAGGGCAGAACGGTGAACGGTCTGTGGCCAAACAGACTACGTTCAGCGCACATAAACTATTTAGAGCTTTTAACCATTTGGAAAGCTCTGAATCATTTTCTGCCTCGCCTGCAGGGACATCACGTTCTAGTACGGTGCGACAATACCACGGCTGTGGCTTATATCAACCGTCAGGGCGGCATGCGCTCGTCGAAACTCCACGCTCTAGCTTAAAAGCTTTTGGTGTGGAGCAGACGGGTTTTCCTGTCGTTACGCGCAACTCACGTTCCGGGCATTCTGAACAGAGGTGCGGATCTGCTATCAAGGGGAAACCCAATCTACGGAGATTGGCGTCTTCACCCTCAGATAGTGGAAATGCTATGGATGAGATTCGGAGGGGCGAGCGTAGATCTATTCGCCTCGCGCGAAAACTACCATTGTCCTATGTTCTTCTCTCTAAGGGACATGGACGCGCCCCTCGGGGTAGACGCACTGGCCCACCCATGGCCCAGAGTGCTCCTGTATGCTTTTCCTCCCCTGTGCCTGATACTTCCCTCATTGGCCAGGGTGAGAGAGCAGGGCCTGTCTCTCATTCTGATAGCACCCAGGTGGCCCAAGGCACCATGGCTGGCGGAGATAATTCCTCTGTTATACGCCGAGCCGTGGCGCCTTCCCGTTCGCACGGATCTATTGTCCCAAGCCAACGGGGAGATTTACCACCCCCACCCGGACAGGGTGGCTCTCTGGGCCTGGCCCGTGAGAGGACGAACCTGAACGCACTTGGGCTTTCGCCGCGTGTGGTCGCCACTATTCAGAATGCCAGGGCCGTCTCTACACGGTCCTTATATGGCTGTAAGTGGCACGTGTTCGAAGGGTGGTGCGATGGGCGCGGTCTCACATCTTATCAGTGCTCAGTTCCTGATATTTTGTGTTTCCTTCAAGACCTCATGGAAAAAGGGAGGTCTTTTTCCACCATTAAGGTCTATTTGGCTGCGATTTCAGCCTGTCATGTGGGTTTTGAGGGCTCTACTGTCGGGCAGCACCCTCTAATCCGCAGATTTATGAAGGGTGCACGCCGCTCGTTGCCAGTCATCAGGAGAACTGTTCCGGAATGGGACCTCTCCATGGTGCTGGAAGCACTGTCTCAACATCCTTTTGAGCCCCTGGGGAGTATTTCCCTCAAGCTGCTGTCCTTCAAGACAGCTTTGCTCTTGGCCTTGGCATCTGCTAAACGTGTCAGTGAGCTACATGCACTCTCGGTTCACCCCTCGTGCACTAAGTTCTCCCTCAGTGGAGATAAGGTTTCCCTTAAGCCTAACCCGGCCTTCATGCCGAAGTGCTTCCCTGCGTTCACTTCGGAGGTGTTGGAGCTGTCCGCTTTTCACCCTCCACCTTTTACCTCTCTGGAGGATCAGAGGCTGAATGCTTTGTGTCCAGTCCGTGCTTTACAGGCTTATATGACCAGGACCAACGCTTTCCGGAAGAGCGACCAGCTCTTTGTTTCATGGGCCCCTCCGCACAGAGGGAGTCCCATATCGAAGCAACGCCTCTCACATTGGGTTGTGGGCGCTATAACTATGGCTTATGAAGCAAAGGGAGTGCAGCCCCCAAGGGGCATCAGAGCTCATTCCACAAGGGGCTTAGCCGCCTCTTGGGCTTTGTTTAGGGGAGTGTCACTGCAGGACATCTGCTCCGCTGCCAGTTGGGCTTCTCCTCATACCTTTGTGCGTTACTACCGGCTGGATGTCACCAGAACCTCGGTAGCACATTCGGTTTTAGGGGTGGGGTCTTCTTAGCTCTTCCCTGTACTCTGTTGATACCAATAAGAGTGAATGGGCCGGCTGGTCATGTTCATTCTTGCCACCAAACATTTACTTCCCGCTATGGGTATAGTTTAATTGCCTTGGTGGGTTGGGGGTACTATCATGTATGTGTCTCATGCATGCTTCATGTCCTGCTTGTCCACAGCAGTTGGTGTGGCGTCACCTTTGCAGGTTCATGATTAATGGACGTGTCAGGCACCGCCTCCCCGAGGTGACCGTCTTTCTCTGGCCTTCAGAACCTCACTGTGAGTGTATTGGGCAATCGGGGAGCTGTCCATGTCTCTCCCATAGGTGGATCTCGAACACGAGATGATGAAAGAGAACAATAGGTTACTATCGTAACCCCGGTTCTCTGAAACATCGAGTGGAGAGATCCACCAGCTTTGCCCCGCTTGCCGCACGAGAAGCGAATATACTTACTGAGGAATAGCAGCGCGCCCAGATGTTATATGCCCGTAGGTGAGGGGGTGTGGCCTCACCTGGCATTGGCTGCGCGCTTCTGTCTGTCTAGCCAGACTTGGTGCAATTGGATGCTTCTGCAGAGGTCAGGTACGGATGCCCTTCCCATAGGTGGATCTCTCCACTCGATGTTTCAGAGAACCGGGGTTACGATAGTAACCTATTGTAATCGTTTTATCGCCCAGCCCTATAGCATACTAGACATTTTTAAAAATCAATGTATAGAGACAGTGGAGCAATTTATTGATATTTATTAATTTATACCTTTTCCAAGCCTGAATAATACTATTTTACACTACCCCAATATTTCCAGGGTTTGGGGGTACCCTGTGCACATAAAAAAAGTTGTGTCTGCACCAACATATTGTATAAAATAAATGAGTTTCCTGGACTGAATTCTTAAGAAACATTATTTTCTAAAACAGAGAAGAAATAATGTAACAGCCACACTCACCAAGGGCAAATCCTGCTATATTCCACAAAGGAAGCAGGAGGGTCGGACGCACCCTGTTGTCACCCAGTATCTCATTAAACTTACTCAGGTGGTGCTTCTCTTGATCCCACATTTCCTTTAACAGCAATTGAAATTTCATCAGAAGTTGACATTCAAAATCACATTGAATGCATAATTCCATAATACATTAGACCTCAATGTTGGTCTTAAAAAAAAAAAAAACTTACAGTAACTTAAAAAAAAAGACATAACTTAATCCCTCCACATGCAAAATAAAGAAAAAAAGTTACATTTGTGTAATAACTGTCAGCTTTTGTGGTAACGCTTTAGATTACAGCCCGGAATTAAGAGGAATTTACAGAGTAACTTTCGGTAATTATAGTGTACCTATAACGTACTTACAATATAAGTATAAGGGAACAATATTTTAAGTTTGGGGAATAAAGGGGTAACAACCAGGAGAATAAAAAAAATATATTTATAATGCAAGTATTATAGAACTAAGGGGTACTTATTCTACTATTATGATACAACAATCTTACATTTGGGAGCAATTTAGCGAGAACATACACTGCGTACCTTTTTGTAATAATTGTGCACCAATACATACTGTATAGGCTTTTTTTAAATTACAGGGTACATATCTATGCATTTATACTTTTTTTTTTATAGCAAAAGTGCAGATGTTTAAGTTTGGGCTAACATGTTTCAAGGCAAGAAAAGCTAAGACTATTGCATTTTTTTTTTTTAAATACTGGGAAATACAGTATATCTTGTTTAATGTGGTTACAGGGTAAGTGGTGCTTGTATAATAAATAAAGGTTTCTGAGTCAGTGATATAAGATTGTTTATGCATTTTTATTGTACTTACCCTGTAACTACATGGAACAAGAGGGTAACAAGCACCACTAATTTTACAGCCCACAATGTCACACTTACCCTGTAACTACATGGAACAAGGGGGTAACAAGCACCACTACATGAAACAAGAGTATCTTTCCCCAATATTTGAGCAAAAGTTGCAATAGTTTTCGTTTTCAGTGCGCTTTTGTTAAAAAGATTACTTTATAAATGCATAGATATGTACCCAGTAATATTTAAAAAGCCTATACAGTATGTACTGGTTCACCATTATTTCAAAAAGGTACGCAGTGTATGTTCTTGCTAAATTGCTCCCAAATGTAAGATTGTTATATCATAATAGTAGAATAAGAACCCCTTAGTTATATAATACTTACAGTTCTTTTTTTTTAATTCTCCTGGTTGTTACCCCTTTATTCCCCAAACTTAAAATATTGTTCCCTTATACTTATATTGTAAGTACGCTATAGGTACACTATAATTACTGAAGGTTACACTGTAAAATTGCTTTAATTACGCAGTACTTTCCGGGCTGTAATCTAAAGCGTTACCGCTTTGGTTTATAGCTAATACCTGAATGAGTGGGCGTGTTTGTGTACAGCCGAGAACAGCCATCTGACCAGCATAGATTCGGTTGGCACCATATTCTCCTGCATGGTCCACTCTCATCATCCTGTGAAGCATGGCTTTTTCCTCTTCATTATTGGTGGGAGGCAATACACTATATCCCCTTACACATGGCACTGCAACAGAAAAGCACATAAACATGCAAAGATAGATAAGCAAGTACCACTTTAAACTAAAAAAATCAGAGAGAACATTAGTTCTCAAGTGGATTGTTTTAATATGCAGGAGCTATGAGCACTACAACAAATAACATTACAAGAATAAACATCTATCGTGATAAACACCAAACATTTTCCAAATATTGATAAATTTGACAGCATACATTGTTAACATTGTCTCTAAAGCTTTATTAATGTGCTTTGCTTTTCATTTTCAAGTTTCAACTCTCAAAACTATAACATTTGGGGGAAAAATTAAATATGGAGGCTAGAATCTGTGGATTTAATTCCCTGTGGAGAAGTATTACAAATGTGTAGTCATAAGGAAAGTTATGAAACTGTTTCATTGATACTTACTGTTTGTACAAGGCTTACCCGCTGTAGGAAAGATAGTCTGTTGAGAACCACGAAGCATAAGCTGAGGTCTGACAAACCTTTGCATGTGTGCAATTTGTGTTTGATCACGGAAAATTCGTCAAATGTCATTGAAAGGAGCTGGGGGTTGTGGTCGGCGTCGCACCCGTCGCACGCACGGCGTTGGTTACTAAACACTGTAATCGGCGCTTGATAATGACGTCAGTGACCGAGGTTCTGAGAACGTTACCTTCGCGCTCAGGTAAATCTTTCCTTTCGTAAATATGAGGTCGTTTAGAACTTACTCAATACCATGTGTTTTTAAATTCATTTTACTGCATTGTTTTAATATCTTGCATTGGTATTGTGGAAATACCTCCATTCCAGTGTCACCATGTTTGGATGTTAGTTATTTTGTTTGGAAATTTGATTTATTTTGAAGTAATATAGTTATTTTAATAATTTGATAATTTAATATTTTAAACATTATATACGTCTGGTGTTAAATGATTCAACAGGCCAATTTTTAGTTTCATGTGAGGGTGCCCTTACGAAAAAGAAGTTTATTCAAGTGTGCCATAGTATACTTCTTTTAAACTAAAAATAAGAAAGTATACTTTCAGTCTACATTTTATGTACTTCTCAGAAATATACTTCAAATTGCACTTAAGTATACTTGACTTATAGGCCTACTGACAGAAAAGTCTAAGTATATTTGGCCTATACTTGTTGAACGAGAAATACTTTAAAGTGTACTTTCATAAACTAAAAATGTGCTACAAGTATTAAAATAGTAAACTACTAGTATACCCATAAGTTCACTTGCAGTACAAATGAGAAACGTAATTATGAACTAGTTGTGCACTTAAAGTTTACTACTGTCACACTTATAGTACACTTAAACATACTTTTATATACTAGTCTACAAGTGGGCCAATTTAGTCCCAAGCGGTATTAAAATAGTACACTTACAAGTTTACTACTAGTACATATTGACATTAGTATACCTACTACATAAAGTATACTTAAAAATATACTTGAACATTACTTAAGTATTCTTCATAAAATGAACTTGAAGTATACTTCTTTTTCGTAAGGGGCATAGGCCTATATGTCTTCACAGGAGTCTGCTACATGTAGCAGACTCCTGTGAAGACATATAGGCCTATGCCCAAAACGTTTTGGTAAATGATTAACAATGCTGTAAATTATTTTTATTTGTTTCTAATACATTTTCTGTAGTTTGTTGTTATACTAATATTTTAATATTACTACTATTATTGTTACTAGTATTATGTTATTTAGTAGCCTATTTGTATCCAATTTCAATTCAAAGGTTTCACTTTAAAGGTTACATATTCCGAAAGTATACTAAACAAAACCTGATTCCATGTTAGTTCACACATGGTTCAAGAACTAATAAAAATGGATAAAGAATAAAAAGATAAAACAAGATATTTTTATGAATTAATGGAACTTCCATTACTTCATACAAATATCTTGTTTTATCTTTTTATTCTTTATCAACATTAATAAGTGCTTGAACCATATGTGAACTATTATGGAACATATTATTTCTTTTACTGTATTGTATAGCACACTTATTTCTGGATGGTACTCCACTGGATTTGTTGATTTTCTTGTTGTTTGTGTAGGAAATGCTGTCGTTCTGGACACAACCGAGTGGGCGTCTGCTGGTGGGGGTTGACAGCGCTCCTACAGCGCATCTGAATGCTGCCATCACTGAGATCAGACAACAGGCCTCCTGCTCAAGAACCACTGAACAGTTCAAATATGGGGTAAATAATTTTAGAAGCAAACACAAGTACACAAACACACACAACCTCTGTCTTTTTCTCTTTTACTCTTCCCTTTAGGCAAAGATGGATGGTTGGATGTTAGACTGAAAGCTTTGTTTCCCTTTTTATTTATATGAAGTACAGTAATATATAACCTGTTTTTATCTCTTAATAGCTTATATTCATCATCATAACTATAATCCAATAGACAGGGCCGTAGCTAGAGGATTCGGGGCCCCCTGAAAAAATATTGATGTGGGCCCCCACCACCCTCCACCAATATCATATACTGTACAATAGATGAACATGGAGGCCCACATAACAGAAGATGGTGATGTTGTTGTAAAACCTTTATTTTAAAAGTTAAATGTTTATATAAAAATTACAACTAATAAAAAAAGCAAGAAATTGTTAAATAATAATAAAACCAATTTTTAAAAAGTAATAAAAAAAATTCCCCATCAGTCTGTTATAATTCATAAATCAAAAAGTAAACATTTAAAAACTTGACAAGAATGCAGTCTAATTAAAAAAATAAAAGCATTCATTGTCTTATTTTTTAATAAAGATAATATGGAACTGGTAATATTATTAAATAAAGCGAATACATTTATTCATCCAAGTGCAGTGTGTTGTCTTCGTGTTTTCTCTATGTTTTAAATATCATCAGCCGGCAGGTCAGATGCATAATGCAATGCGTCGTGACTCGTGTAATTTTTTAAAAACTCTAGTTACAATACTGTAAAAAGACAGGAATTTAGACCACGTAATCATTCGGTCGATTGCGGCGCGCACCGATAATAAACAATGACTGTACACGGCAGACTGTAGACGGAAGTTTTCTAATTCCCAGCGAAATAACAATATTTAACCGGTCTTTAAGAACGTCTTGATCGACTAGGATACCACCACTCTCCTTGCCTCCCTCTCCGTCTTTTCCTGGCATTTCTGGTTCCCTGATTTGTTTTCTTTTCCCCATTTTTGACATTGACATTTGACATTTTTCAGTCAGTTAGTCTCCTGCTCTTCCACCAAGTTCATCGTTAACTTCAGGCTGCCGCCTCAACTCTGATTGGTTCTGTTCACGAGCTGGGGCGGGACTTACAATTTTATTGGGTCCATCTGATGTTTGTCACTGACTCTGACTGAATAATTAATACATACTTTAGGTCGGACTAAACCATTTTTATGGAGGTAAGAGAAGCAGATATTTGGAAAAATATTTACCCAAATTGCACGTTTTTGTGGTTTTCATTTAAATCTCAGGCATACAACTAATATAAATATTAGAATTATTCATACTACAGGGGCCTAAATAGTATAACTGCTGGATTTTGTGGGGCCCCCTGGGCAGCGGGGGCCCCTATAATTGTCACCACCTGTCACCCCACTAGCGACGGCCCTGCCAATAGATATTGCGTGTAAATTGCATGTAGCTCTGAGTCACTTTACCTCATCCCTCCACACAGTGGCACTCTCACACAGCAAAATAGCAGCAGTAAACCAATTTGAATTGTGATTTACCAATATAAATCTATCTTCAGAATTAATGAAATGGATTTTTCTTGTGAAACTGGGCTTGTTGAAGTCAGTTAAGGATATCACTGGCAGAAAATGTTGTAGAAGTGAATTCACATTAAATGCAAAGATAAATCCTTGTGATCACAGCTATCATGCTTGTTTGGGCATTACCTCTACCATTGTTTTTGAGACAAAGATTGGTATTCTTTTCAAATAATTGAAGTATATTAGTTTCTGAGAGATTTTTTTGGAAGTTTAAATTCCCAGGGATAACATCAACTGATAAAATATGTACCTTGAATGCATTGTAAAGGCCTGTTCTGACCAAAGATGGTAACTAAAATCGTTCTAATTCTTTGGGAATACAGAAGTCCAACCCACAGCTATAATGATAACTGCACAGAGGAATTTGTTTCCAGCTGATGAACGATATGCATTTAAAGCACCAGGTGATGTGGAACTGCAAGCATGCGCTACAATAAACTAGGGATGCACCGATATTAACATTTTGGCTACAATTAAACATAATATACATTCTTTGTATTTGAAAGCCGATTATCGATATATTGGCCGATACAAATCCAAATTTGATCAAATTTTTGAGAGCCTGATTACAAAAACAAGTCTCACCATTAAAAGCCATGTCCCAAGCACACAATTATAATGTTGTCATTATAATTTTATGTAGCCTATATGACACTACATGTTGCACTTATTTCAAGCAGTTCAAAACCATCATGGTGAACAGTGCGCATCTGAAGTGTCTCAGCTGGAGGAAATATTATTATCAGCTTTAATATATCGGCCAAATGTTCTTATTTTATACTTTTTCTTCGGCCAATAACGATAACATAAAAAATGAACATATATTGGTCGATACCGATATGGTGGCTGATATATCGTGCATCCCTACAATAAACAGAACATTATTGTGCATCGGTATGGATGCCAATATGGTATCAGTTATAGTTATCTAGGTAATGCTCTTGGTGTGAACGGGCCTTAAGTCACCTTGGATAAAAGTGTCAAATGCGTAAATGTAAATGCTGATCCATTTTGTTCTTAACAGCTCCTGCAGTGTTTAGCCTTGTGTCTGGTTCAAATTTGAACAAATAACATGTCACTAACATTGGATAAGGTTACCTGGACTTCTTAATACTGATCTGAAACCCTTTATATTAGCTTGAACTCTCGCAGATCCCACATATTAGGGCAACCTTTGCCCAATGCCCTGCTTAGATGTCTCTGAGATTTTTCTTCCTGGGTGTATCCTCCTCTCACAAATTACCACTACTCCTTTTGAGAGCTCCAGTGAATAAACAGTTAATCCTCCAAATGAAAATCAAAAACAGAAAAAAATATAATAATAATAATAATTTTGGTTCACGGACAGAAAAATAGTCACACAATTTCACACTTTTAAGAACCCTCCAAAATATCTGCTGTAATATAATGAAATATTTCCAACTTATGTGTTGCTTGTTTTTGTCCATATTTTTCTTGAATATATTTTTCAATGACCATCACTGCAAAAAGATGCTTATTGGCATCTATTTACTGGCATAATTGGCATGACACTAACAAGCCAAACCTTGTGCCACAGCATTTAGACTTTTTTTGGGAGATCTGTGAACTCTGAAATTAGCTTACTTTGTCCTATCTCAGTTTAATTAAGTATTTTAAGAATGTACAGCATTAAATACAGGTGCAAACCTTATTTATTTGAAGTGTGTGTCAATATTAATTGGCATTTCCCAGTGGCGTGCATGGACATGCTTGCATACACACGCTCAAATACACAAATACAAAACAGCGTAAGCAAAATGGGAAATATTTCCCTTGCAGTGCAAAATAAATACACTAGGGAAAGAAAAGAATACTGCTTCAAGCTCCAGTATGGGGGAAATCCACACACCTGACTTAGTATACCCACAGTAGCATCAGAAAAGCACTTGCCATCTGTTTACAGCAGTTCTCCACCTGTCCATTACATTGTGCAACAATGCTCCAGAGATATCTGTTAAAGAGTTGTTTAGCCTGTTGCTTTCCATGTAAATACCACAGCACATAGAGAAAGAAACCTTTGATCAGTGCTCTTATTTGACGATAATAGGGCTGTAGTGTGAAGAATGGAACGAGAAATAACTCACTCCTGCTCTCAACCATTGAATTAAGGTCTAATAACAGACTTGTTTTTATTTTTGATGTTTGTTGGTAATATTGCTTCAGTCTCTCGAGGCGTGCTCTATACAAACGTTGCTCTTTGACCTTAATGACTGGATTGCTGGTGCGTTAAAAGAGATATCAGTCCCCTTCAGTTTTGGGAAAGTAGTGATAGTTGCTTGCTTGTCAAACTTTTAGTTTGCCAATTATAGCTCAATTTTTTACTGATAAATTGGCATTGATGTTTCTGAATTGTGAAATTGTGAATTCTAAGTATTGAGTAAGCTGGAAAGACATCATTCAGTGCCTACTGAAGGAGTTATTCAGGACAAGAGCAGTTTAAAGATGTAAAACGTGCTCTGCCAGTTCTTTGATGCTGTGATTCATTCTTTATATCTTCGTCTCTGTCTTTCGGTTCCCATTGTTCAGTTGCCCTCTTCGGGCATTAGGAATTTCCAAATACATATTACAAAATAATATTTACACAGGACCGTTTCCAGCTTATGGCGAACAGCCTCGGCTCTCATTTGAGATTTTGAATACACAGAACCAAGCCTTCAGGCTCAGTAAAAAGGCGAAGGTATTACTACGAAATTGCAGAATAAATATTTATTTCAAAATACCTCAGCAGTCAGTACAGACAGTGTGTATTGTTCAGAGGGATCTCTGCCCTGATGAGGGAGAAAAAAAAATACCCAGAAGATGGTTTGACTGAATAACAACACAATGGCTGCCTGATATGAGAGCGGATTTAGCCTGCAGGAAGCAGAAGCAAACTGTAAACACACATCTGAGGCATTCTACTGACAGAGAAAGCAAACAGTTTAAAGTGTGGGATATTAAAGAAATAGTGCTAGATTTATTACATTGGTAAATGTATATGCAAACATTTATGATATCAATGATAACACATTAGGCGTATAAGTATGTGTAAAAAAAAGTTACTATATGATTTTGATTAAGTAAAATGGCTGACTTATACATTGTTTAGCAAACTTGCTGACTCATAGGAGACACCATCTTGTCCCACACCTCCAGTTTTATTATAGCCCTGCCCAAAGGACACATGGTGGCCCTGATGTCCAGGCATTTGCCCTCAAAGTTAATGCCTGACCCATTGGCCTCCTCCCTCACAAAGCCCTGTTGATTTTTTTGATAGTACATTTCTTTATAAAGGGCCTGGTCACACTCCTTTCCTTTCGGGTAGATACCTACTGCAAACCAATTCTTATACAGATTGTAGTCCCAGGGGACAGAAAACATTATGGCCAGGGTCTCAATGTAGTCATTTCTGTTTCGCTCAAACAGGTCGTAGGTCAGAACCCCCACGCTGCCGGTGGCTTGAGTGCTGATCTTGCTGAAAGTGCATACTTCAGTCTTGAGGGGGCGCACTGTAGGCTGAGGTGGGTTGAAGGTTTCACCACTCTCCAGATAGACCCTGTGGGATTTATACTCATGAATAATACGCAAGCACACACACATTCTTATTGCTACACAACATGCACGTTTAAAGGGATAGTTCACCCGAAAAAATACTCATATACTCACCCTAATGGTGTCCCAAACATGTTTGACTTAATTTGAACACAAATGAAAAAAATAAGTGTTTTAAAAAAAATTGTCCTTAAAATGAAAGTTTATGGGGTCCAAAACAACATTGTATGGACAAACAAGTTTTCAAAATATCTTCTTTTGTGTTTCACAAAAGAAAAAGTCATACAAGTTTGGAATGACATTAGAAAATGTCCATTTTTGGCTGAACTCTCCCTTTAAATGCATTTCACACTCCTTTCCTTAAATGCCTATACATGTTAAGAGACACATTTTTAGTTTTGAATGCTTGGTTGAACATTAGATTTGCTTCTGGTGTAGTCTCACTTGGGGTTGATGAGGCAGTAGTTATTTGTCAGGTTGGTGATCTCTATGGTGGCGTGTCTCCTGCTGCTCACGTTGGCAGCAGCAGCCTCAGCAGACTCAGTCATGATGGTGGATGATAGATCTGATTGACGGCTGAAACGGAGAGAAGTAGGGAGGAGAGGGATGGTGTGAGAAAAGAAGTCTGCACCTCAGTAAAAAGAAGTGGAAATTCAGTTTTGTTTACACTACAGGGCTGCAGTAAAAATACAATAACTTTTCTATCGTTTTTCTATGATATAAAGTTTGCGGTCATAAGTTAATTGTCCTCTATTTGAACTACTGTGCTGAATTAATGTGTCGAATTCAATATTTTATTCTTGAAAAACACCCTGTTCTTGTGTGTATGTGCAAGCACTACAATATAAAACGTTGAAGCATTAGATTAACGTTCACATAGCGCTTCTCAAGTTCACTTCTGCCCCTCTTTCATTACTATTCTCCATATTAACAAGCAAACAAACAGGGTCACAGTAATTACACGCAGAGACCTCTTCCTCAAAAACCACTCTTCCTGTAGCAATCTTCAATTTTATAATGCTCTGCTTTAAAAGAGGAGTGCATAATAGTGTCCTTAACTGAATAAACTGTCTTGCCATGTTATAATTTTAATATGGAAATTAAAGGATATATTAGCATTTAGTTTTGATTATTAAGTTATGATTATTAAGCATATTTTGTCTCCATGAGAATGAAGGCTTACCTCTGTGGTACTCCGTAGTGTGAGGATGTGTGTTGCTCAGTAACGGTGCGTTCCAAAATAGTCACTGCGTTTTTACTCTGTCCCTTTCCCTATATTCATAAGCAGCAACAAGAACAGTACATGCCTACCTGAGAAAAAAAGCATGCTTATTCAAATTTTGTGTACACCCTCTTTACGCACGGACTGGACACACACGCATATCATCTCAAGAGGCATAACTGTCATGGGTGGGAAAATGCTTGGAACAGTTTCACACCCATAGCTGTTTTATTCGTTAGACCGGAACAGTGAAGTTGCATGCACAGATTTGTCTCAGAAATGACTCAGGTTTTTACTGGAGTACATTTTAGGTGGGGCTTCTTGATTGACCATAATGATTTGTTTTTATAGCATTTAGTACAGTAATGATCATAGTTTGCTTATTTTATTACGAAACTTTAAGCAAGAGTAAGGAGAGGGTTTGTATGGGAATTTTTGTTCTGTTATATGTTTTAAATAACAAGCCCAGAAATATTCTCACTCCATTTCCTGCTTGAAACGCAGTGGTAAAAAAGTTGTTAATGGAAATTAAAAAAATGAAGGCAACTGTTTGCACAGATTTTTTATTATTGTAACAACTGTCTATTCAGATTAATTAAGACTAAGAGGTATTAACATGGATTTAAATCGTTCAGTATATTGTGCTTCATTTGATGTTTCCTATAGAAATTGGACTCCCTAGCAAAGACAAGTTCATGGGTTTGATTCCAAGGGAGGGCATGAACTTGGGTATACTTATTTATGAATTTATATATAAATTATATTTTTATAATTTAAAAATGAGACGCTCCCATTGAAAACAATTGGAAAAATACGCTAGCCGCGTGAAAAAAAGTCCTCAACACCTAAGAGACATGCCAGTGAAAATCAAGAAACAGTTGTTATGTAGATATAAATGTCTCATTCTAAGCTAATAAAAACATAACAGTTCATTGAGTAAGGTCTTTATACACCACTGAACACATAGTTATGGATCTTATATTGCATTTCTGTCAATAGATCCTCAGAAATATTACACATTTGCACCTTTAACAATGTGATTGTGATTTTAAATGTGATTGCTCTCCTCACAAATCCACGGGCACCCCCTTCTATGAAGGTTGACATATTGTCACGTCATGTTTCTACCGTAGCCAACAGCGAACAAACAGCGCTACAGAGCGCGTTTCGTTCATACCTTGAAAGAGAAGCCGCAGAAAGCTAGAAGCTAGCCACAGACACCGTGAGTAGTGACTTTTCCCTTGTCAGTGGTGTAAAATATGTAGTTGGATTGTTTCATGTAACTTAGTTCTTCTCCCTCGCTGTGTTGGCTTTGACAATCAGCTGTTGAATCAACTATTGACCGTAAAACAGTAACGTTACAGGAGTCACCAACCCGTCGATCGCGGTCAACAAGTCGATCTTGGAAGCATTTTAAGTCGATCGCGAGAGTTTTCAAAACCAGAGAAAAAAAACAATATTTTTATTCATTATTATTTATTAATTTGTGTGTAAATGGTGTGAAGGGGATGCGGAGGTGCGCGCGCTGTTACAATCACGTCATTTTTGCCACACCCACCTTTGCGCTCATGCGGACGCGTCGAGTATAAACAAGGCTTTACGCTTTAACCAGCTCAGCCACAGCCCTACAGCATAACAGCTCATATTAGCCAGCTAAACTTTTACTACCCTGTTAGAAAAAATATGTATTTGGATAGTGTCATGTGGTTCTTCTCCCTCGCTGTATTATGGGTTTGCTATGTGGGGAGAAATGTGCTGGTTACGTTTGTGAGACAATCAGCTGATTACTATTATTATATTATATATTAAGACCCTTGATCCTCACCTGACTATGGCTTTGTAAACTTTATCCATGATGTGGTTTATAATGGACTGTGGTACAGAAACTTGGCTTACTCTGGCTATTCTCTGCTGTCTCAGATGACGATATGTGTGTCCCGTTTTAGCAACCGTAGCTTCTTCGAAAGGGAGGGGTGAGCAGTGGGCTGAGCCATTAGTGCAACTCGCAACCGAACCGCTAGATGCCGCTAAAATCTACACACTGCACCTTTAACTAAAATTAAAGTCTAAAAAAGTAAAAGCTTACTTGCACTGGACATCAGTGGACCTCATCTCAAATATAAAACACCTGAGATTCAGCAACTAGTTGCTAATCCATTCACATTCATGTAAAGTAGCCTTGTTGACAAGTTTAGGTAAATAAGGGCAAAACACACAAGATATAGTACCATATAAAATCTAATGTGTAATTGCATTACTCGTCACAAATGTATTGGTGGAAAGAGTACATATACTTATTCAAATATGTAGTAAAGTAGAGAGTAAAAGTTGCAAATATCTTTGATACTCAAAGTATAAAGTAGGCAAAAAGATACTCAAGTACAGTAGGCTAACTAATTACATTTACCCAAATACTTTACACCACTCATATACTGTATATGCATATATATATACTGTATATGTTTGTATATATTTGTTTGTGTGTGTGTGTATATATATATATATATATATATATTTTATATAGTGCAAACATAGAATGAGTATTCAAAACAGTCGGTTTTTATTTTGACAAATCTTTGGACCGCATAAATGCAGGTATTAATACAGACATCAAAACGTGACATCAACATTTTAAAAAGCACAAAGCCATGTTTATTATTATTTTGCATATGATGAATAAGATCATGTAAAGTATATGAAACAATTTTGAATTACTGAGTTAAAGCTGAATTTGTTTATTATTTAGCCCATCTTATCATACACCTCTAGCTTAATAATAGCCTTGCCCACAGTAGACATGGTCGCTCTTAAGTCTACTTTCTTTCCTCTGTGGGTGATTCCAGATCCCCCTGCATCTACACGGGTGAACTGGCTGAAGTCCTTTCCCTCATACATGTGCTTGTACAGGGCCTTGTCACATCCACGGCTGCTCTCAAACAACCCAATGCCCATGACATTCTTGTAGTGGTGGTAGTCGAAGGGAACAGAGAACATAATGGCCATGCGCTCAGTGCACATATGATTCTGCATGTGGGAGAGGTCATAGGTCAAGATGCCCACAGCCCCAGTGGCAGTGTTGTCATCCTTTGTGAATGAGCAAACCTCGGTCCTGGTGGTGCGGATGGTGGGTTGAGGAGGATGGAAACTGAACCCACTGGACATGTAGACTCTGAGAGAAGTTCATAGTTGACATTTGTCAAAAATGTATTATAGAAAATGAATAGTAAATGAAAGGAATTTGCCCTACAATTAAAAAAAAAGTCAGTCCCCTTCAATAACTGCATTTTTTCTTTATCAGTTTATCTGGTAATTTAGTTTAAGCTACTTTTTGAGTTAACAATGTAAATGTAAAATATATCTTCATATTCTCAGGCATAATTTTCTCCTTACTTTGGATTGATAAGGCAGTAAACGCTGCTAACATTGGTGATCTCCACCGTACAGTTCCTGTTAGTGTTTATAGTTGCTGACACGGCCTCTGCAGTCTGCATGTTGGCGTTTCTTCTGTGAGGGTCAAGAAAGAAAAGAAAGATAAAAAAATGGAAATTTCTTGTGAAAAGATAATTGCATTCAGCAAAGTCTTAAAGGATAAAAACATTGTTACATTTACTCTTTCATTCACCTCCATCCTCCCCAGCAGCACCAGGATGTTCCCTTCCCCTCCATCCTCCCCACCACCCTTCCCATACCTCCCAGGGGGTCGGCTGCGCCCCTGCCTTCGTCTTCAGGCAGGCAATGCAGATTCCGTACCCTCGGATTACGAGCTACGGACGGGGCCTACGCCAAAGAACTTTATATCATAATATTTGCTTGCTGGGCTGTTAATAAATGTATACTTCTTTCGGTAATTTGCCTCCCGAGTCTTTCTGGTAGAACTTTAATTTTTGACTGAATTTTTCCTTTTAACCAGATAAATTATATAGCTTAGATACAACATTCTAATCAAATTAATTAGATTACCATGTGCTTAACATTTACAAAATCCAATCAAGGCAAAGCATAATCTTCCTTCATGTCAACTAGTAAATGTGTGACAGCAGGTACAGGTAGACAGATGAACGTTTTCTAAGTTTTTAGCTAAGGCGTTAAAATATCTATAATAACAGGCCTGACAGCACGGCAGAATAGGCAAGACACTTGCGGGCTCCATATGGCTCAGAGAACTAAATTGTAAGCAGAGACAAACAGTGATTCAGTGAGCTGAGAATCGAAGACATGCACTAGCAGATATAAGCAATGAGACTTTTCAGTGCAGATTAATTAAGGGTTAATGCTCAATTCTGTATTTAAGACAAAAGCTTTTTTACTTTTTCTTTTTACAGCGCACACATGAAGCTTAACACAAACTGGTTAATAAGTACCTGACAATTACCTGCTAGTAAGAGATGCTGCTGCTGAGAGAATTGAGGGTTTGCTGCTCTTCTGTTTCAGCGTATGAATGACAAACACTTGTAGACACACAAACACCTGCTTGACAAACACAGGCGTGTCCTCTTCTTTCCCCTCCAATGCTGACAGGGAGAAAAAAAAACAAAAAAAAACAGTAGAAACATTTGTGGGAGAGTTTGATGGGAGTTGACACAGTTAGATTGACTAACTGCTTCCATAAATCCACAAAGCTCTATTCATGGGCACAGCCAGTAAAAAAACTAAACAATGAATGATTAATTCTACAACAATTCATATTTTAATGGATAGATTCAGTCAGTGCCAACGAAAACAGCATGACATAATGTGGTTATGAAATGCTATTTTGGATACAATGCAAATATTGAAAGTGATGAAAAGTACCAAATCCACCAACGCCCAAAACCTTTGTGAATAGTATAAGAAGTAATTAAATAGGGCTTAATAACAGGGTGCAAGGACAACGGGAGATTATTGGACACTTGTGCAATGTTTTCCCTACACTACATTATCAAAGCGTGTTAGAACGTCTCTCTCCTAAGAGTGACAGTGTGTGATTGAACGTGTCATGGTCCGATGAAGAAAGAGAGAGTGAAAACACACAGCTGCACCCTTAGCGTGTTAGAGTGTTGAGTGTCCAACTGCAAGTACAGGCATTTCCTCTTCGTTCCAGCACATTTTCAAACTCATTTAAACATCAAGAGACTGTGTATGCTAGGGCTGTAGCGATACACTAATCTCACGATACGATACGATACACGATATTCGGCTGACGATACGATATATATCACGATATTCAGCCAACGATACGATTCGATATAATTCGATACACTTACATCATTTTCTGAAAGATTTAAAGGGGACAGAGTGATTTTGGTGACATCTTGTGAGTCTTCCATTTACTTGGATTGAATTAATTGAACTGAAAACTGAAAACATCATTTACACAATATATGTCTCTGACTGGGCAGAGAGTACAGCTTGCAAATGCTGGACAAAATGAATCAAATATGTGTAGAGAAAATTAGTTCTATTTATTGAAAGACAACAGTGCAAACTGTAGCTTATAAGCCTTTGTTAATTGCAATACTGCACTTTATTTACTTTTCAATGGAGAGTTAAAAGGTGCAGCAAGTGGCCTGTTGTGAACAGTTTCTTTGCACTGCCTTTTCTTTGACAGCTTTTTTAGCTTGACACTGAACATGTGACGTGCTTCAGTTGTGCGCGAGGTCAAGCCGTCGCACGTCAGGGAAACTCTCTCCGCGCTGGCCAGGGAGGCTTTGACGTGTGCTCTTGCCTGAGTGTACAGCCTGGGAATGCAAACCTTGATGAGGTGTTCGCGGGTTGGAATAGGATAGCGGGGCTCCATCGCGTTCACCATGCGCCTAAAGCCGGCGTTTTCCACCACCGAATACGATTTTTTTTACATTTTTTTTTTTTTTACTAAGCCTATTTAAAATCGTATTTGATTGCAGAGCGCCGCAGCGCATTCACGCAGCACTACCTCGCTCTCGCTCTCTCTCTCTCTCTCTCTCTCTCACACACACACACACACACACACTCATCCGTACCTCGCGCACTTTCTCACTCACGGAACACCGCTGCACAAATCTGTCCAACACAGCGCTGTCAATTTCGGAGACCCAGCTTTAAAAAAAGCTACTAGCCAGCATGCAAGGAGCCTAGCCAACAAGGAGAGCTAAGTTGTTGTTTGAATACAGCTGGATTTTCGTCAATATCGATGCACGCGCGCAGCTGGCCACTAGCGGCTGGCTGACCAAATCACTCTTCATGCAACGCGAACGGGTTTAACACGGGGGATTTGAATGGGACTTATGTATCGATACTCGCGGCCTAAAAATCGATACTTTCTTGGGAGAAAAAATATCGATTTATATCGCAGAATCGATAAAATCGCTCAGCCCTAGTGTATGCATACTTTGCAGAAACACATTTAGGATAAACTTACATCTCTGACAGAAAGTTCAGGGCCCTCATTCATTTTCCAACAGGGGGCATCACATAAACACCTATTCACCCCGTTAATCCTCTTCTAATTATGAAATGCTTAATCTGAGAAACAGAAAATCAAAAGCTAACCTTATGATTAGATGTATTTCAGTCACGTTTTTCAAAGTGTCTTTTTTTGTGTCCCATAGCAGAAAGACATTACAGAAAGAAAGTCATACTGGTTTAAAGCAACATGAGGGTGAGTTAATGATACTTTTTTAATTGTGGATTAACTATAAAAACATTTCCCCTAACTCTCAGATCTGAACCTAAATGAATAATTCACCCAAAAATAGAAGTTCTTTGATTATTTACTTATTTATTATCTAAATATCTTCTTTTGTGTTGAGCAGAAGAAAATAAGTCATACAGATTTAGACCGACATGAGGGTGAGTAAATGTGACAGAATTCTCATTTGAATTATTTCCCCATCCTCATATTTGAACTCGTTTATTTTGTGTTCACTGGAAGTACATTTAAAGATTCAACATAGCCGTTGAGCATATTTACATTCATTAATACAAATGATTTTGAATTGTTCGGATTATAAATGCTCCTTCAGAGTATTCCCCATAAGCCATTGATTTATTTTTCTCCTTTTTACAGTGACCAAGAAAGGCTCAAAGCGACTTTTGGAACTAGTGCAACTATAGCTGTATCCAATAAAACACTTCACATTCTCTCCACCAGCCAAAGTAATTCACCATCGGCTGAATCCTTTCAAAGGAAATCAAAAGCTAACCTTATGATTAGATGTATTTCAGTGTTAAGTCCACATCCCATTACCTGAGCCAATGGAGGCTCTCTAAATGCATAGAGCTGCCATGCGTCTGAAGGGCTAAAGATTAATCCCTGGAGCCTATGGAGCTATTCACAGGTAGGGCCTTTCAGATGATGGACTAATGGGGTTTGTGTGTGGTGGGGGGTTATGCAAACAGAAGTGATTACACACAGTCAGGCTGTATGCAGCAATCGCTGTGTGTGTGTGTAGGGGGGTTGAAGTTGTCGGTTGATTGATTGTTAAGGGGGGTGAGAGGTTCCACACGCTCACTTTGTGATGAATAGGCTGTCAGATGCCCTCCAACTACCCAAACAAGGCCGTGGTAAAACAGGCATTTAAGTGATTACACCAAACGTGTAAATATTAAACGTCCATTACGGAGGGATTATATATGCTGCCACTCCGCAGATAAGAGGCACAGGAGGGGAAAAAAAGACAGTGATGCGGGGATGAGAGAAAAATGTAATAGAAAAAAGGACAGGTGCTCAAGCTACGTATTTGTTGTTTCACGCCCGACTAATGTTTTTCTGTTTATTCTCCACAAGGACCAAATCTCAGGCATTAATCACATTTTGAGATCACTTGAGGTGCGTTTTGTGTGTGTGAGGGCAGTTTGCTTGTGTGTGTGTTTGTATCTGACGCTTTAATTTGTCCGGGCATGTTACCGCATCCCCAAATTCAAATTAGCCAAGATAAAGAGCATTTACAGAGATGCAGTGGGGTCTAGGGCTAGGGAATGTGTGATTATTTATCTTTTATTTAATGATGATTTGTGCAGTGTGCCCTTTGATTCCTCTGCAGCCCGGTAATCGATAGGGCGGCGTGCGACATGAATTTATTTGAGTCCTCTCCAGGTAACAAGAGCGAGGCTGTAACCTGCAGGAATTATTTTAACGCACCTGTCAAACAGACAGAAGACTGAGAAGATAGTGTTGTCCTTGAAGGGATACAGAATTATATTGGATATTCAAGAACTTGCACAAATTTGACTCAAACTAGTTTATGCCAAATATTCTGCTGAGAGTGGGAAAATGGTGACAGTTTTGATTTGTAAAGTGTGTCATCACATGAATTTCAAATAATAAATGAATCAAACAGGGCAAATTGAACAGTTTATAAACCAAATTGGGATTAAAAAAGGTTAAAGTAAAATATGTAAATAGTGTAAAATATGTATTGAGAATTATGGTGTAAGGTTGCTTTGTGCATGTGATTTCAATCTCAATTTTTTTATCAGTTCTATAATTAAAAATGTATATCTTTTGTGGTATCTAATGCCTCAGAAACATATCCATTTAATGCAATTGTCCAACAAACATTTTTTAGTCTTGTCGGACGTTTTGAATTTCTTTCTTTCTTTCTTTCTTTCTTTCTTTCTTTCTTTCTTTCTTTCTTTCTTTCTTTCTTTCTTTCTTTCTTTCTTTCTTTCTTTCTTTCTTTCTTTCTTTCTTTCTTTCTTTCTTTCCCTTTCCTTCCTCTTCCTTGTTTACGTAGTATAGTTGTCATATTGGGGACAACTGTCTTTTTTCATTTCCTGTCTTTCATATTTTTTGTCTATGGTTTCACAAGTCCCTATTTCCCTCATTCCATTTATCTTTAAAAATGTATTTTACAGTTCCTGTTTGTCTTCTTGTTCTCCCTTTCTATAAGATTCTGTCATGTTTTGGCTCTGCTACCTCTGATTGCTCCCCAAAAATTGTCTCTAGTCTCTCAATTTTTTAAAGCTAGGGCAGTTATCATACCATTGTTTCCATCCTATTCGTCTCTTCCTTTTGTTCTTCTGTCAGTGTAGCTCCTCTTGGTTTTTCAGGAGGACAGTTCCTTTGTGTTACAGGGGCTATTATGCTGTCCTCTACAGTATTTACTAAGCTTTACTTAAAGGGAACCCAAAAGTTCTGTCATCATTTACTCACCCTCATGTGGTGTAGTCAGTTGTTTTATATATGCCGAGACTAGTTTGTTACGCGTGTTCTGTTAATTTACTTTTGTAATGTTGTATTTGTGTTCAGTGGTAGATAGAGTAAAGCTTTGGTTTCAGTAGCGAAGCTTCACACACCATGATAAAATCAGCTCAAAATATCATATATTTTTTGATATCCTCCGACTGGGTGGAATCATAATCTAAAGCTATGTGCCCAATCTGCCCATCATACACTATGTGATTTTTTGTGAAATCTGTCAACTTCAACTGCCCAAAATCTGCTGACTGGCGCAGACTTTTACAGTGAAAGACTCAGATTTACAGCGAAAATAGGAAATTAAAGTTATTTAAAGATCATTAAATTAAAGATCATTAGTTATGTACTTAGGGGC